GGCATTCTTTGCTGACACCTTTCATTGTAACTTAAAGCTGCAAGCAGCGACAATCACTACCACACTGAAAGTTTCACGTAAATCACAAGATGGCCACACAAGCCTTACTTACTGTTTCCAGTAGGTGGCGCTATGACTGACTGAATATTGGCATTTAGATGTATTCAAACTAGAAGTCATTTTTAATGGCTACAGCTAAAACTGGAAGTAGCTGTAACTATTGTTTGCAGTATGAAGTGAAGGTGGTGGCTGTGGACTGTACAGTAGATAATAATTTTCCTTTTGATACAACAACACTGAACCGAACAGTCTCTCGTCAACGATCCTTTCTATCTTTCAATATCTGTCTCTCTCTAGGTGTCCCAACATTAAGGACAACACCATCGGCATGGCGGAGAACGGCGTGTCGCTCACCTGTCGCTTCCACGTCACCGTCTTCAAGTTCATCGGGGATTACGATGAGGTCCACCTCCACTGTGACGTTTCCCTGTGCGACTCCGAGACCAACGCCTGCAAAGTGGTGAGAACAAAGCTCCACCTTAAATTAAAGTGATAATGAAACAATTCCTGTATTAATGTGTGTGTACTGTGCATCCAGAACTGTCCACACAAGAGAAGAATGTACTCGGAGGACAGCGACCACAAAGAGCACATACTGAGTGTGGGACCCATAAGAAGGAGAGGTAAGAAAGAGCTCAGTGAAGGTTTAAAGAGATAAGCTGTGTTTTTCTTCCTGTTTAGAAATGTGTAAAGACACAAGTTCACACAAATTATATAAAAAATAGTTTCCGGCACTTTCCTCCGCTATTCAGTCAAACTCCAAAGCTTTTGACTCCCCTGTGACGTCTCCTCAGAGTCCGACTGGTGCGAGGATAGCAACGGAGGCTGCGAGCAGATCTGCACCAGTAAGATGGCCGGACCGGTCTGCAGTTGTGTGACTGGGATGCTGCAGCGAGATGGGAAAAGCTGCCGGAGTAAGGACCAGAAACGCACACATACACACACTGTTTTCAGCTAAAAAGCCCTAAAAACTCACTGTACACTAGCTGCTGTGCACCAAAGACAAACAGGTACAGCTAGCAACTGGCTGCTGAACAAAGTGGAGTAATTGGCAGCAAAAGAGCTGGATATTGGACTTGTATTTGCCAGCTGGCCCAGAAACACAACACCAAATAAATGAACTGTTTGCTAAGTTCAACATTTCAACTTCCAAGCTGATGATATGTCAGTTCACAGATGTTTCCGCTGCCCACAAGTGGCCAAACAAATCTGTTTATTGCAGGTTTAAGTGAAGCTAATGAATCATAAATTGACCTATAAGTATAGCCTGACAGTGAAAGCATCATTTTTTTACTATCTGATGTAAATAAATTGAAGGCATGAAACATCCACCCAAAAAGTATGGATGTTTTAAATGAATGGTAAACAGCCTGAGGTGTATTTCAGCAGCAATCTCCAGTAACTGAACTTTAGTCTCTAGGCGTTGACGTCATGTTACGTCTTAGCATGGATGATAAGGGTCATTAATACTGGACTTGAACACAAGATGGCGTGATTACAACTGCAACAAAATGAGAACCTGAATGTGCCTCCTCTATTAACTCTGCCCTGGATATTTCACAGGAACAGGCCGTACAACTTTACCTGACATTGGTTGATTAATAAGTAACACAAGCTGGATATTTGATGCAGAATGGAGGCATTAAGAATCTACTGCCTGCGTCACTACACACTACTTGGTTATTGATAAAGACATTAGCTTAATAGCCTTTATGGTTTATCTCATTTACCTCAGCCATTGTCATTGTGGACACGGCCTCTTGTGCTGTCTGTCTGCCAGCTACTGTTTGGGTTTGGCTGCATTAGGGAGAGTTAATTTAAATATTGTATGCTTAAAATCTTTAATCAGGTGGGAATGAGCGAACTATTCACTATTGGTTTACAATGAATGAGTGGAAGATGCTGAATAGTGGTGGTAGTCACTCTTTGTGCACGTCATTGTCTAGCACACATATGTATGTAAATATCATTATTTTTGCCATTCAGTTTAAATCCTCTTAATGCCAAAGTATACAAACATATTGGTGTTTTAAGCTAACTAATTAGTGAATAAAAAACAAATGCTACGAATAAATTAGAGACATAAAGATGGAAAAAAAAGGGGGAAAAAAGGGACAATGGGATATGTTATATTCAAACATAAATTCACACAAATTAAATTGAGAAATATGACAATTGTCACCATTTACTGGGTTATCTACTGTTTTATTCTATTTTTATTCACTACTACATTATCTACAGTTTGTCTAGTGTCAAAATATTTTTTGTTTTGAAATTTGTGGTTCTCCATTATAAGGACAACATGTGTAATAATGAAGTACCATAAGATGTTTCCATATTGTGACCTCCATCAGATTTTAAAATGACAATTAACAGGGTATTTTCTATGCAAATTGATTATTTTATTGTCATTATTCATACAGTAATTCTGCATTTTTGCTTTGCTTAGTATTTACACCAAACATACTAAATAAATGCATCAGCAAAAAGAAATATCTATAACACAATAATAAGCACAAATTACAATTTTACAAGTCAAAATATTTAGCCTCTTATCGAACAAAAAACATCCAGACATTACAATACAATAGCAATTACAAAAATCTATTAACTCAACAGAAGAAACAATATTTAACAGATTTTGTAACACAAGAAAAAGTGCCTCAGTTTCCTCTATAATTAATGTTTTCTTCTTTTCCCAGCTGTGAGCTCGAGCTGTAACCTGACGCCTGCGGTTTCTCTGCTGAGCGTCAGCGCTGTGATCTCCATGCTCCTGGCTCGTATTCATACTCTCCTCTCCTAACACCCTGTGAGCAAAGCGAGGCAACAAATGAAAAAAGATGCAAACACAGAAAAGACTTGAAAATGCACAAAGAATCAGAGTTGATTAGCCAGTAGATCAGCTGTGTACCAGACAATCTAGACAGAATACGTTCACAAATCCTTAAAGTCCAGATATATTACTGATGCAACTGAAGGTACGTAACCAAACAGGAAAAGTAAGTCAGCTTTCTAGACGTGGACAAGTGATCCTTCCGAAACTCTTAGGTTTCACCCCTCCACTTCACATTGTGTAATTCACCTCCACCTCCTGCATTATTCACACATATCAGGACGCCTCACTGTGTGTTTTCATTCACTTAAGGCCACTACATGCATATGTTTTTAATGCAATTATAAAAAATTTCAAATGTCTGCCACAGTATCTTTCACAGTCAGAATTTTTCCAATCGTACACATATCAGGTATGGCCACAACATAAGTTGGTCAGCTAGTTAACTAACATTTTGATAACATCAGCTAACAATTGATGTAGATCATCAGCATATATAAAAATGCACGATATGACAGCTTCTCCAGAAGTGAAACCAAAACATCTCTATCGCCCCCTGGTGCTGACTGCTGTATAGGTCTTAGAGTCTGCTGCCTCCATGTTTGCAAAATGGCCAAACTTAAATTTGTCAAAGTACACATTAAATAAATTTTTCCCAAAGATGTTCTGCCATTTTAGATCAAGTGTTAATTTTTCTGATAAGTTTGGTTTTAATTAGTAATTTGAAGCTATAAAAAGGGCATTTCAAGTCATGATTGACAGCTGAGCGATGAGTCAGTTTGGCGTATGGGCAAGACTTTGATACTGCGGCGCCAACCCTGATCACTACTGCACAGACTCTGGATCCAAATGACGTCACTGGCAGAAGATGGCAGCAGCCGTACCCGGGATATTTTAGCTTCATTTTTATATAGTGGGAGGAATTGGAGACATGATGTTCATCTTTTATATGTTGATGATGTAGATTAGATAGTTAGCTACTGTTTTGATAACATTAGCCAGTTAGCTTAAGATGTGAATATGACACATTTTTCCATTCATCAGCTAAGATCCAATCACAATTCAAGCCAGACCACCTTCACATGTGTGTCTGGCCGATCTCTGATAGCATTAACTTTGCATTAACACACGTTTTACCTTATCAACATAAGAGATCCAGATATAGATTATATGTTGATGCACATGGGCTCTATGGGTCTGGAATTAAAAAATGCATGGATATAAATTCTCTGTCGGACAGTAGATCTACTGGCTAGCTTTAACCAGAGTAGAGCTGATCTTTTTTGACCTCCAGATCAACTAATGTAATCAGTGTTTATCCCTCTAAACCAACAAAATGTACATCAGCTTGTGGCTGCAGAAAGGTGATTTTAAGAAGAAAACTGGATGATCTATTTTGTGATGGTGGAAGAGTACATTGTAAATGGGTGGCCCACATTTATCTTGGATGTCACAGTGGAGTTTATGAATGAAGTAAGTATTTATGTGTGAGGAGAGCACCTTGTGAAATGAATACTCATATATTTTTCACTCAAATTTTGGTCTAATAGATTAGCGTCCCAAGTTGTGTTTCGGCTGTAAGATATGCAATCAGATTGTGCCAGTCAAATATTTCACTTCTATCATTTCTTATCTTAATCAGTTATAGTGTTATAACACTCCTGCCATAAATATTGACTGATTATTGATTCAGAACAGTTTGTATCTTAGGAAGGATATGTGACGACGTACTGTAATACTGTTAATAGAGTAAGGTTCTCCAAGTACGGTCCCTGGTCAATGTTTTCTATTTGGCACCTTATGCGTTTTAAATGTCAATACATGTCACCACACAACTTATGTAAACCTTCAGTGTTCTTTACTGAAGCCAATTGTAATTCTCAGTTTCTGGTTAGTTATGCAGTCAGTAGCAGTTTTTCATAGGTAGACTTGTTTTGCTACCTTCTATGTACAAATGTACAGTCCTTGTCAGTTTGGTGGTGAATGTCATGACTTTGTTTTAATAATCACTTTCTTTTTTTGATGTTTAAAAACATGACCAAAAGATGTTTTATTCTTTGAGAGCAGCACCTCCACCACCTTTTAATAAATGAACAAGTTCTCAAAGTCAGTGTGAGTCAAGTTTATTTGATGCAAAACATGCAGGCATGCATTCAGGGGCTACAAGACTGCATCAGCCCAGTTCATGTACATATTTTATTCACCAAAAAGATCACCGTTTGTTATGAATTGCATTTAAATGGTAAACATTTAAAGTTTTGTCCTCCTGTAGTCTTTCAGTAGCTGACAGGAAGTAAACTTCAGTTCAGTCAGTCTCTTACCAACGTAGTTACAATCAAACAATCTGTGTCATTCACTCCACACCTTGCAATTGTGTTCAGTTACTTGCAAGTTGCAAAATCAATTAGTTAAATTCTTTCCACAATGAAACATGCACCGAGTGCGTGCCGTGCCTCCGAGGCATTTATGTACACTCTCGTCATCTTGTCTTAGCTTCTTTTAATTCTACTTC